CATCAGCTGGCGTAGACCAGACGATGCCTGCATTGCCTGTTCACCAAAGCTATGGAATACACCTCATCATCCTGCACTATAACTGTATTGGAGCAGGCGGAGGTGAAACTAGGGGTCTTAACACACCTCTGTTGTCACTTGGCTTCCTGGGGCTGGAGGGTAGGAGGGGTAGCTGGCCATCATGTTGGGGTCTGGGGTGGTGGGATGCTTTGCTCGGCATTGGGAGGGGGTGCCTGCTCATCAGCACCCTAGCAGAAAGGGGCGAACTCTGGGAACCGGTGATGGTTGTACCCGTATTGCAGCAATACCGGGACCAGAGTGAATAGGGTGTGTATGGGAGCGTGAGTGGGTGTCTAGAGTTCATTTCTGTAAGTCTTAGGTTGTATGTGTATGTGGGTGCATGAGGGAGGGAGTGTGTGACTGTGTCTGTGTATGGCTGTAAATGTCAGGTGGGGTCTTGGACTCCTCCCCTCTCCTCGGACGTCTTGTGCTACTATACATCTTCGCCTCCCCTCCCTCTGCCACTTTTGTTATGGAGTTTGGTGCCTTGGTCTGTCTCAGTGTTTGCGGCTCCCGGGTCAGGGGGTTTAAGATTTATTGAGTCTGCCTGGGGGGATCTGAGTCCTTGCTGTTTGCCCCTGGGTCGCTGGGTTGCAGTCTCAGCAGGCTTGGGGGTGGAAGGCTGCGGGAGGGCCTGTGGGCTTGCCGCTGATATCTCCCGGGATTCTTCTGGTTTTGACCCCCCGGGGCAATACTCTGCGCCTCTCGAGAAGGGGGCTGTGGCTTCTCTGGGTATAGTCTCCCTGGGGTCCCTGTGCTCTGGGGCAGCTTCTGGATCCCTGGGACTTGGAGCTCCCTCCATCTCACACTCATCTTTGGGGGCAGATCTGTGGCCCCTTACACTCTCTATTGGACGCTCCTATAGACAAACCTTACATATACAAGCGGGTGTACACACAGGCGCTCACATGGTGCTCTCATAAGTATGGACTTTGGTATTTTCAACACATGTCTTAAGGCTGTGGTTGGCACTAAATGCACTGTGAGCTATTATCATGTGATTGTTCAGTAAAACAATGTTGATTTTATATTTCTTCATCAGGTTGATGCAGTGATAGCTCGCTCCTGTTGCATTGTTGTGTGTTGTTTTTCTCTTTCTGCAGGTCTAGAAGCAGATTCTTGTTCATCATTGGTTGTTTATTTTTGACTCCACGTGGAAATGATCTGGAGCTCTGCATCAGCACCACAGCTGGTGTAAATGCTCTGATGGGGTTAGGGTTAACTCTAACCCTAACCCTGGTTTATTATTTGTTTATGCAGGAGTGGGCCACATGGTCTAAAATCTACATCACAATACATTCTTTACTTCTGTTTATTTATTTATGTCAGAATGAATCCCAGCAGAACAAATACTCCTAAAACTACTGAAGAACATCAGAACTTATAAAAATAAAACAAGTTATTGATATGCTACGATTCTCCAAACGATGCAACACAAAGTCCTCCTGAAGATGAAGATATTTAAATAAAGTCCAAGCTGAATGTGATGAAAACACAGAATTATAAATAATTAGAACTGAAGTGAAAAATGTCAAGCAGAAACATTTCTTCCTAATTTCCACATTCATTGAATCACTTTTCATGTTTTTCATTTTCTCCCAGAAGTGAAGTTTTACCTGACTCGTGAAAATGATTCTTGATCCACAGCAGTAAATGAGGTTGGAGGTTTCTTCTTTTTCTGCCGTTTGAGCGACGCTCTGATCAGCGGGTCTGGGGTCATTAGAGGTCAGACCCACGGACTCGCGTTTTTAATGAGACAAACAGCTGCAGATGGACAGTTAAGGTAATTAGTGTTAACGAGCTACTAACGCAGAATTATTTACTGGTACAACATCAGGTTCGTATAACCGACGTTACCCGTATTCACTACCCCTTAATCCATGCTGCAGCAGCTTGACCAAATCCATGCACAGTCCCTGTTGGCCTAGACAGATGACTGATAATACATCAACCATATATTACTGTGCATTACTTTATTTGAGTATTCATTAAACACATCCCAGCACAATGCTGTTTTTACCCGGGGTGAGTGCTGTCATCATCTGGGTTATAAATATGAATTTTTATTGTGATGCGTTCACAGACCACAAGGGGTAGGCGCAGGGGCGTCGGACTGGGGGGGGAGGGTACCGTTTACCCAGGGCCCACTGCAGGGAGGGGCCCTGAGACAGCTTTGAATAAAATTGTTTTTATTGTTGTTGTTTTTTTCCCCCAACTTACTTAATGTCTTAATAAACGTCCCTTTACCTGGATAAAGAGGTTAAGAAACAGAATTTCGCCTTAAAAATAATAACTGAATAATCTCTGAGGCATCTATCACCCCTTAAAAATGTGCAAAGTGGTTTAGTCCACACCAGCGGCCAGGGGCTGCACGGCCGCATGTACAGCTAATGAGACATCGCAGATGCCGACAGCCAGAGCTGGAGGCAGGAGAGTCAGTCATGTCTTTTCCCAAGAAAGGGAAATCTGGCTTCCAGAAAAGAAAAGAAGGAGAAAAAGTTAATTGAACAGAAGCGAGTATTGACTAGGTTTTTCAAGAAGGAAGGTGAGCAGCAGCAGAACACGGTTTTAGCTGATATTAGCTAGCTCTCAGAAGCTGCATTCGTGTTAGGTGTTCAGTGTTAAACGTCTTTAGTTTCACCATCAAGATCAAATATAAATTAATTAGTGTTATCAGTGATAACACTAATTAATATATATATATTAATCAGAATTATTATCGCGGGCGGCCGCCGCCAATTCGCGGACCTCGCAGTAAAAACAGGTTCAGTCTGTGTGGATATTTCAGCTCCTTCCCAGTCATGGACCAGGACAAACTTGGTATCGATGGATTCGTGGTAATCTCAGGAATGAGAAGCTGCCACTGTTTTTCGTATAGCATGATGACACTGGTGTTAGAGGATTGTTATTGACTTGGTTAGATATTTTAAGCCTATTTTAAATTTCTTTATATTTGATCTTGAAAACGGACAATCTTATAATTTGGCTGATAATGCAGGGATTATAAAATTTAGAGTACATTACATTCACAGAGAGAACCTGGTTTATTTCATGTCATATGTATTTAATATATCAATACATATCAGCAAAGCTTAACATCATGAACCATGACAGACATGACTGAAGAGCAGATGAAGATATCATGCCAGGCACTGATGAGAAAATATTACAAGGATCTCACAGCTGAATTTGAGAATGAGATGCTACACCTGAGAACAATATCTGGTGCCACATTCCCACACATTCGGTCTCCTCTTGAGCTGCTTAATGCCATCTACAGGATGCAATTACAGAGCATTTTTGGAGAAGTTTGTTTTGGACTGAGGATATTTTGCACACTACCTGTGACTGTTGCTGGGGTGAACGGGCTTTTAGCAAACTGAAACTGGTGAAAAATTATTTGAGATCAACAATGTCCCAGGATAGACTGAACAGCCTAGCTCTTCTTTTTATTGAAAGCCAATTAGCCAAAGGCTTGGACTTTAAAGATCTCATAAGTAGGGCTGTAGCGAAGCCTCGACGAAGTCGACGGCTCGATTCTAAAAATTTGTCGACGTCAGATCCGGAAGTCGACGCACCGCGCCCACTTGTTGCATCCCCAGGAGTTTGTAAATAGAAGAGAAATCTGCCTGTTTTTCCTCTAGTTCGCCCTCTTCTCCGCCTTCACTAACATCTCCGCCAAATACCGAAGACCCGGAACAACGTCCGTCCACTACTAGATTATCTTCCTGTTTTGCCCCTTCGTCTCCCGGCAACGGACAACAACTTCCGGGGTCAGATGCGCTGCTTCGTGTCTATCGCAGATGTAGAAAATCACCGGGAGCGCTTCTCCCTTCATTAAGGAGTTTCTTTCAGACATGAGGAGAGCTGTTTTGGTGGTAGCAGTCTCTCCTCCGTGCTGGTCTGTTTGCTGCTGGGTGTTTTTGGTTTATTTAAACTTGGTAACTTGAACTTAATGTTGGTAAAGCTACTGTTAGCATCTTCGCTAACAGCTTCTTGCGTTGGGATAAGCTGTTACGTTTTGGTTTAGAGTTCATCTTTTTTGTGGTGTAGATCTCCCTTTTATTACATTTAGAGTTTTGTGGGTTTTCGGTTTAGTGTAAAATATCACCTGAGTTTGGTTTAACCCGTAAGACCACTCGCCTCACGCACATAAGTGACCAAAACAAAGCAGCATGGAGACACTCCATCTTCTACCACCTCTCAGGCAGCAGCCTGCACTCCCAAGTTCTACACGTCACCAGAACATAACCAACCAACACAATAAACACAGTGTTATACAAAATGGAAGGCCTGTAGTGTTTATTCTCTTACAGTAAGAATTTATCAATTTTTTTGAGGAATTTATTTGAGATTTTCTGGTTTTTGTTAATTGTGCAATAGAAAAATAATCATTAGATTAATTTTCTAAATAGTCATTAGAATAGTCGACTATTCGATAAAATAATCGTCAGAATAATCGTTTTAAAAATAATCGTTTACCCCCAGCCCTACTCATAAGTGATTTTGCTAACATGAAGACCCGTCAGTGGGCATTTACTGGAAAATAAATTCCAGGATTTTTGTTTGAACACATTGTTGGCAAATAAAAATAATTATGTGTGAAGTCTGGGCATTTCACTTTTATTATGCTGGCATTTGTATTTGCTCAATATAGAGGTTAAACTAAGATCATATTTATTATCTTGTCTTATAGCATGACAAAACATGTGTAAGAGAGATATTAAGTAATTGAGCATGGGGGCCCACCTAGAAGACTTGTACCTAGGGCCCAGAATTTGGTGCTACGCCCCTGGGTAGGCGCACATCTGGGTGGGAATCTCTGACTTAAAAATTAATGCCCACTACTCCCAACACTGGTTACCTGAAGAAGAAGGCTGTGGCTGCAGGAAACGTTTGTGGGATTGAACCAAGCTGATGAGGAAAATGTCGTTCTGCAGGTCTGGTTTACCACAAACAGACGGAGCACTTTGACCAGAAGCCGTTTGCTTGTGAAGAATGTGGAACAAAGTTTGGAGCCAACTCGTCTCTGAAAAACCACATGAGGCTTCACACCGGGGAGAAACCATACCATTGTTCACACTGTGACATGGCCTTTAGTGTGGCAGCTGCACTCTCATACCACACCAAGAAGAAACATTCTGAGGGTAACACACACACACACACACACACCTAGATTTATAAAATGCACTATGTTAAATAAGTTAAATTACTTTATCTTGTTTTAAATAAAAAAAATGGTGTGTGTGTGTGCATCCGTACATGTGTGTGTTTTCCAGGGAAGATGTATGTGTGTCAGTACTGTAAGTCTGTATTTGCACAGTCCATCGAGCTCACTCGCCATGTACGCACACACACCGGTGACCGGCCATATGTATGTCGGGATTGTGGGAAAGGCTACAGCCAGGCCAGCGGCCTCACGACTCACCTGCAGACGTTTCACAGTAAGAACACTCAGCAGGATGCTTAAACGTTTGGACACGTTGTTATCAAATAATCATGGGTATAACAGTTTTGGTCCTATGGTGAGTGGTTTACAGCAATACGACAACAACTGTACACAAACCCATTCACTACACAAACATTCCACACTCACATGGGAAATCATGCAGGATAAAACCTGACTTTGAAATAAACAAACATGGCGTAGCATGCTGTGCACCTCCGTCACCTCGCCTTCTGATTGGCTACACATAAAACAGGCAGTATGTTTGTCCCTGAAAATCAGAAAAGGACAACCAAACACCTTTCAAAACCCAGATTTATGATAGGTGCAGTCCCCAAGTGCTTTTGAGCAGACCAGAATGCTCCTAACACACCACACACAGTAGGATTATCTGGTGACAGAATCAGGTGTGTCCTAAAGATTGTTGGAATGGGAGGATGGGGTCATAAATTGGCCAGCCGCTGCAGGTCAGAAGGGCATCTGTGAAGATGTACTTCCTACAGGACATACATGCTAACGGCTAGTCTACACTCAGCCAACACCAAAGTATTCTGTTACCATCTTCAGAACCCTTTATTTTCTGGTTTTTTGGTAGAATTATCAAGAATTAAAGGAAACTAACCACATTTGAATACCTTCAGGTTTACTAAATGATGACACACCAAGCTGTTTTAAGCACAACACTCATAGCTGCTCTCAGATTAGCCCTTAGCTCTGACTAACCATTAGCTCAGGTCAGCTCTAACTAGCTGTTAGCATGGACGAGTTAGGGGCGCGTTAGCGAGTACCTGGTGGCCAGGCTTTCATTTTCATGGAGCCCGGCCGGGCACAGCCCGAACAGGAAACGTGGGTCCCCCTTTCCATGGTCTCGCCACTCGTGGTAGGGGGTTAGGGTTAGAAACTGTGGAATGTCACCTCTCTGGTGGGAAAGGAGCCTGTATATACCTGTAATCATATCGAGGAGTGTAACTCTGACGAAGACGTTCTGTCAAAATGTTAGTTTTTTTCTCTTGCACCTAATAAATTATAAGATTGAACCGAGAGCTCCGGCCCCTCCCTTTTTGTTTCATGCTTTGTAACCTGTTAATACAAAGGCTACAGTCAGGTGGAGGTAGGCACCTAAAACCAGACGTGACTTGTGTTCACCAGAGGCATGGTGGCGAGGTTGAAGAGCTTCATCTTCCAATCGTAACTCAGGAAATAGCAGAACGCACCGAGGTACGCCTCTGTAGCACGACTGGTCCGCACGTCAGCAGTCAGGGACCACGGACAGCTCTGAGGGTCTGCTTAACCGTGAAGATATTAGTTAGTTTATTTACCAGATTAATTATTCTGTTATATCTAATAAAGTAGGGTCAGATTTAACACAAAGAAAATGTTTTATGCTTAAAAAATATTAGTTTCTTGTTGTTCAGTCAGCAACATTTTTATTTTATCATAAATGCATTTTATTCTTATATTTGTGTACACACACACACACACACACACACACACACACAGGTGTGTAGGTATTCTGGAGTAGATGAATAACTATTTAATTTAGAGGGACAGTGTGCATTAATAAACATTTTACAATGTAAATGTACCCATTTATAGCCAAAGGCTAATTTCCATTGATAAGTAAAAAGCAACATTTAGGTCTGCTGCTCCTCCACATCGAGAGGAGCCAGTTGAGGAGGCTCGGGCGTCTGGTCAGGATGCTTCCTGGACGCCCCCCTGGTGAGGTTTTCCGGGCACGTCCAACCGGGAGACCTAAAGGAAGACCCAGGACACGGTGGAGAGACTATGTCTCTCACCTGGCCACGGAACACCTTGGGATTCCCCGAAGGAGCTGGCCCAAGTGGCTGGGGAGAGGGAAGTCTGGGCATCCCTGCTTAGGCAGCTGCCCCCGCGACCCGACCCCGGATAAGCGAGAGAAAATGGACGGATGTAGTTAGGCTATCGGTAGGATGATCTCTGCAGGGAAACGTTTGTCAGTTTTAGCTTCAGTTGTTTTCTCAGCAAAGAAACATTTAGTAGTTCTGGTGGTGGCGGCGGTGTCCTTGATTTTGTGGACAGATTTGAGTCCTACTGTAAACAGAACCTGAACATGGCTCCATGTGCTAGAGGTTCTGACATGGTGTTTCCTGTTGTCTTTGTCAGACCTTTCACAACCACACGACTGTACCAAGTGCTGTCTCAGTTTCTCCACATCAGAGGAACATCAGCTGCACATCCAGAGGTTCCATCCAAAGGAGTTCCATAAGTGTTCTACCTGCAACAAGGTGTTCTCCAGCGCCGCCTTGCTGGACAAACACAAGACCAAACACAGCGGGAGTAAACCATTCAGCTGCCGGCTCTGCAACAAGTCCTACCAGGTGGAGCCCAGCACACAGGCTGGGGTTGTTATGAAAACCCAAACACCATCAAAGCTTTACAGTGTTCCCTATTCCTACAGCTCCCTTTAACCTTATCATTATTATTTTCATGTGTATGGTGTCACTCTGTCCGTGTGAGATCAAATGACATCTCTGTCTCCATAGCAACTGTCAGGCCTGTGGTATCATAACAGAACCAACCACCCTGAAGTGTTTGCCAACCAGACCCGGCAGCTCAGGAGCCTGCTCCAGTGTGACCTCTGCTCTAAGTTCTTCCCCAGTGGCGCCAGTTTGAGCAAACACCAGGAGGAGCAGCACCAAGGTAAGCACCTTCTAGGGCTCTACAGCCCCCCAAGGCTCTTTTCTACACAGCCAGTCGTTCACCCATTCACATGGTGGTGGTGACGACAGAAGCTAGGCTGCCAATCACAGGCTCTTCCAGCCACCAGCATGGGTAAGGGTGGTGGTGGTAATGCACGCGTTTTCTTATCGCTAACACAAACGGAGCGGTGGCAAAAGACAGGAGATTATTTGATTACTCGCTTCTGAAAAAACTACCATTGCTTTAAACGCTGTGATTGCCATCACTCGAACACATCAACACACTAAAGTGATAGCAGCATACCCCAGGAAAGCGCCACGCCCTCTGCTGTCGTGGCGGAGAATTGCTTCATGACACCGACACCCTAACTGAGAAGTGTAAAAGCAACCATCAGTACGTGTGTGTGTGTGACAGACGTATGAACTAGGCTTTACCGTTTCTGAGAGCTTGTATTTGTTGTCCAGCCTCTGAGTCGTCGGGGCCCCAGTTGTCCTGCAAGGTGGTGCTGGATGGTGAGGACAAGGTCCAGGAGCATGTCTGCAGTCAGCACATGGATTCTAGCAGCAAGGCCTTCAGCTGCCCCCTCTGCTCCCTGGTGTGCAACTCACAGCTGGAGCTGCAGGAGCATCTGCTCTCCTGTCACATGGAGGTGCAGCAGAAAGACGGTCAGAGGAAGCAGCGCTCCTCCTCCTCCTACACGGTAACCACCAAACTAATTCATCAAGCGCCTTTCAAAAGAACAGCAAAGGTTCCCTCGGTAGAGCAGAAGTCCAATCTGACGCTTTGTCTCATCAGGTGATGTCAACAGGTTCTGCTTTAAGACAACAGATCCAAGACCAGAACCAGCCAGGAGCCACTCCACATGTCCTCGTAGCACTGGCAGGTGTAGAGGGCCGACCATCGGGTGAGGTGGTGGAGGTGAATGTGTCCGACCTGCTGAACAACTCCGTCACCTTCATCTGTGAGAACAAGGCCCTGGGTTCTGACTCCTAGCTGGAAACCTAGTTGTGAACTGACCGTCTGTCTCGCCGTTCTTTTCGACTGCACTGCTCCAACAATGACTTGACTTGTCTCGTTTCACCTCACTGATCACCTCAGATGAGCGAGGTTCTGGTTCTGATCATTAGTCTGTAAGTGGAGTTCTGATCCAGCACGATGATTTGTACTGCAGACCTGAATCCAGAGGCGTTCGTCTGTTTTGGTTCAGTAATGACATCTAAATGTTTGTGGTTAAATTTAGTGAATAAATAATATTTGATCAACGTCTCGGAGCTCCGACTAGCTTATTTCCGAGGAATCCACAACATTGATAGTCTTACCCTGTGTAAAGGTGAATGTAAAGGTGAACTATTTCTTTATGTTTAACAACGGCAAAGGTATACGGGCTTTTATTTTGACAGCGTCATAGCAACCGTAGCCAAGTAGGGAGGCGCAACGGGCTCAACACAGAAGAAGCAAACGTAAATTTGGAGACGGCGGAGAGAGTGAGATGGCGCTCGCGCGGGTGCACGCTGCGAGCTGCTCGTCCTCTATGCAGTGGTACCTTGCTTTTTACTAGCTTTTATTGGCGTTTTATTGGCTTTTATGCATTTTTGTTGTCTCTGATGCTTTTTTTGAATGGTGTGGATCCTCTGGTGACATACGATCGCGCTGCGCTGCTGAGGCTTCGTCCTCCCGTTGATGTAGCGGGCTGCGCGAGCTGGGAACCTCACAGATGGTGCTGCTGGTTGGACTGTCCGTGTGCTCTCTCCCCCCAAGCCGTGATGTGTCGGCCCTCTGTCCGCCCCAGCTCGAGAAGGAAGCATCGGAGAAGACGGGGAAAGAGAGGTAGCCGGCGCGTGAGACGTCGGGCTGGATCCCTGAAGAAGCGGCTGGTCCGATTCGGCCCAGCTTCTGACCCGGTGGTTCCGAGATGTCTTACGGTTTACTCTGCGCCCTGCCCAGGGAACTTGGCCGGCTCTGAGGGTGAACTGGCACCGCGCCACGGCCGATCGGCTCGAAGACCTCGCCAGACTGGGGTTTGTTGGGAGAATCTGCGCTCGGTTACAGGCACAGAGTTAGAGGGGACTGGGCCCGTGCGCGATCTCGGTGCTGCAGTCCCGCCGCAGACCCGGTTTGGTCTAGTCAATGCCAGGTCTGTGCTGAACAAAACTTTTATACTTCGTGACTTTTTTATTCAGCATGACTTGGGTTTTCTGTGCATCTGTGAGTCCTGGATCCCGTTTGGTGACTCAAGCGCCCTGCTGGAGCTGGAACCACCTGGCTGCTCCTGTTTTAATATCCCCAGATCACGGGGCAGAGGTGGAGGGCTGGTTGTTGTTTTTAAATCCAGCTTTCCTTGTAAACAGCTTACACCCACCATGTCATTTTCTTCCTTTGAACTGTGCTTATTTGAACTGTGCATCTCCCCCCGCCTGCTCGTTGTGCTGATTTATCGGCCTCCAAAGACTGACTCTAACTTCCTTAATGATTTCAGTGATCTTGTGGCAGACTGCATCCTAAAATATGACTATGTCCTATTTTTTGGTGATTTTAACATCCATATCTGCTGTCCTGATAATGTGCTCACTAAAGGTTTTTTGAATTTGCTAGATTCATTCAATCTAACTCAACTCATGCCAGGGGTCACACCCTGGACCTGGTTCTCTCTTATGGTCTACCCGTCATGAACCTTGAGACTTTGCCTCCTGTGTTCTCTGACCACTCTCCTGTACTCTGTGATGTTACGTTGCCATGTCCTGTCCCTGTGTGTGAATCTCCAGCTACTAGGTTCAGAGCCCTGGATGCAGAAACTATTTCAAAGTTTGTGGACTGAATGTCTGTAAGGTTAGAGACCTTTAACCCAGATCCATCTAACGTTGATCATTATTCACAACACTTTGATTTACTTTGTAATCAGGTCCTGGACGTGGTTGCCCCTCTCAAACTGTGCAAGTCTTGGCCTAGGAGGGAGCCTTGGCTCTCTGATGTCACACGGGCTTGTAGGCGGGCGTGTAGATCCTCTGAGAGAAAGTGGAAAAAGGATGGCCTACAGGTCTCGCATGAGTTGTTCAGAGCATCTCTGGTTGCTTATCAGGATGCAGTGAAGGCCGCCAGAATGGCCTATTTTGCAGACATCATTGAGACAAACTCCAATAATCCTAAGATTCTCTTCAAAACGCTAAACTCAGTTCTGGTGTATCAGGAGCCTAGCTTCATGTCTCCTACAGCTGCTGGAAACTCTGAAGATTTTCACAGATTCTTTGTTGATAAAGTATCAGGCATTAGAGCTGCTACTTCTGGTAACTCTATTGACCCTGTTCCAGTTCCTCCATCACCACCCACCCTGAGCTCCCTCAATACTTTTTCATACTCTGAGCTGAGTAAGCTTGTTGCGAGGCAGAAGCCATCTGGCTCTCCACTTGACGTTCTGCCGCCTCGTCTCTGGAAGGCTGCCTTTCCGTGTCTTGGCCCATCACTTGGTCAGATTATCAATGGGAGCCTCAGCACAGGTGCGGTCCCAGCTGCTTTGAAAGCAGCAGTTGTTCGGCCGACCCTGAAGAAACCTGGTGCTGATGTCTCTGTGATAGAAAATTACAGGCCTATCTATACCCTGCCTTTTACATCAAAACTGCTTGAGAAAGTCGTTTATCAGCAGCTGGTCTCACATTTAGCTGACTCTGATCTGTTTGAGGTTTTTCAATCAGGGTTCAGGTCTGGCCATAGCACAGAGTCTGCTCTACTGAGGGTCCTAAATGACATCTATCTATCACTAGATCAGGGAACATCTGTGCTGCTTCTGTTGTTAGACCTGACAGCAGCCTTTGACACAGTTGACCACGCGATTCTACTGGATCGCTTGGAACGATGGGTTGGGATCAGAGGGTCTGCTCTGGATTGGTTTAGATCGTATCTCCACAACAGGACATTCTGTGTTAAACTGGGTGATGTTTTTTCTTCTTGGGAGGGGCTCCGCTGGGGGGTCCCTCAGGGATCGATCCTTGGTCCACTTTTGTTTGCCATTCATCTGCTTCCTCTGGGGTCAATCTTTCGTAAACATGGCCTATCATTCCATCTCTATGCTGACGATTGCCAGATTTACTCTCCGTTGTGTCAGGAGAAAAGTCACTCTATCCAGTCCTTTGTGTCCTGTCTTAACGAGGTGAAGTCTTGGCTAATGGCCAACGTTCTGCATCTGAATGAGGGAAAGACAGAGCTCATTGTTTTTCACCCCAACAGCAGGAATGTGGATCGTTATGTTGATCTTGGCCCTCTTTCTCCCTACTCAAAACCAGTTGTTACCAGTTTGGGGGTGAAAGTTGATGCTGGACTTAAATTTGATGCTCACATCAATTCTGTGATCTGGTCCAGTTTCTTTCACCTGAGACGCCTTGCAAAAATCAGGCATATGCTGTCGAGAGCCCACCTGGAGCGGGTACTGCATGCCTTTGTTATTTCTAGACTTGATTACTGCAACTCTCTCTATGCAGGGTTGTGTCAGTCATCACTGCGTCGCCTACAGGTTGTGCAGAACAGCACGGCCAGGTTCCTGACTGGGACCAGGAAACGGGACCACATCAGTCCGGTTCTGGCCTCCCTGCACTGGCTTCCAGTTTGCTATCGTGCCCAATTCAAAATCCTCGTCTTTGTTTACACTTTCTTCCAGGGTGGTGGTCCCCCCTATCTAGCCTCACTCCTGAACAGACACTCCCCATCACGCGCTCTGCGCTCATCTGACCAAGGGCTGCTCGCTGTCCCTTGTTCTAGGTGTCGTGCTCGTGGGGACCGGGCTTTCTCAGTCCTAACACCGTCACTCTGGAACCAGTTGCCACCCTCAGTTAGGCTGTCCCCATCTCTGCCCGTCTTTAAGAGTCGCCTAAAAACCCACCTCCTCCGCTTGGCGTTTCCAGAACATGTTTGATTTTGGCCCTCTATTATGTTGAATTTATCTCACAGTTTTCATTGGTTCACTCTAGCCATTGTTTTACACATTTGTCCTGTACCAGAATGTTTCACCTATTTTGTAATTTGTATTTTGTGATTTGAATTGCTTTTATTTTTGATTTATTCAATATATTTACCTTCAACTGAACCATGTTCAGCGCTTTGGGCTTCCTGACAGGGTCGCGAAAGTCGCTTTATAAATAAAGCTTTGATTGAGTGATAAATCTATTAGAAGTAAAGACGGAGCAAAGGATAGGCTATTAACGGTTCACAGAGAAGAAGACAAAGAAAGTTTGAAGAATACTTCTGTCTAGCTTCAGTTGATAAGGGGAACAAGGTTTGTAACTATAATTAAGAATGTTGTTATGAAAACGGAACGTGTATGGGTACCTATATGATTGTATTAATTGTGAAAAAGGCTAGCAATGTAATCAGTTATGCATTATGGTTTCTTTTATGATTTATTTATTTTTTTGTTTATGCCTAGCTCTTACGTTGGTTGGTTGATGATACGGACGGCTCAATAAATCATCATTCACCATCAGTTCCGGCCGTCTCAATATTGACTGAATGCTACTGTAAGAGCTTGACCGCCCCCTCTTGCCGAACGGTGTGGTTTCAAGGTTCAACGGCAGTACCCGTAACGTCCAGCAGAGGGCAGAAGTTGGTCAGGAATTGAAATGGATCAAGGCAAAGTAAAATGGAAGACTTGCAGGCTGCAACAGTAAGTCAAACGGCCCTAACTGAACAGATTACAACTCTGCAAAGGGAAATTCAAGACTTAAAGGACTCACTTCAGGATGAAAGTAATGCGAGACAGGACATTAAAGATTCAATCAAAGAAATAAGTGAACTTAAAGATAAAATCCAAAACATGTCAGATCTGCCAAGACGCTCTGAAAGAGTTAAAGTACAAACAGAAAAAATGATAATATATCTACGGGAAGAAATGATCAAAAAGGAAAAAAGAATGCTTGTTCTTTATGAGCAATGGAAAGCACAGGCTCGAGAAACGAGAGAAAAATTAAAGGAAGATATAACCGTGAAGGAGATGTCAGAACTTGCTGACATAATAGAAGAAAGGAGAGATGATATATTAAAGTTATATTCAGAAAATAGAACTCAAATGGCACCATCATCTGACGTAAGGAGAAAGATAGATGCATGTGAAGCAGTAACTAAGGAGATCATATGGATAATTCTGGAAAGAATAAGTGGTGTTGATGGAGATTTTGATGCAGATCGTGAAAAAGCTCGTTTACGTGAACTTTTAGAGCATGAATACGCCATTTCCATATATGGATCAACTGCAGCATCAAATAGCAGCCAGCAATCCTCAGCTT